TGTGAGTAGAAATATGATCACCCTTTAACACTATGTATTTATTAATAAATCTTAACAGCGTTTCGAGACTAGATTTGTCTTATCATCAGTGTAATTTATAATATATATGGTTTTTGTCAAACGCAATAATAATTCATTGATCTTGCTGAATCATTATTTATTTGTTTGAAACTAATAGTCTGGGATTATTGATAGTTTTCCATTTTTATATAATTTTTGAAAGAATTGACATCAGTCCGATTAGCCTATATTAAGCCACCTCGGAAAGTGATTATTTTGGTTTGGTAATCATTATGTTTTCATAATAATAATTTAGGTAATCATTATGTTTTCATAATTTTAAGATGTTTAGTCAAGGTCAATATGCATTTTTTAGGATTTCATATGTATTACAATATATTGTTGTGCCCCATCCAGCGACGGTGCCAACAATATGTAGGTTCTTCCTACTGCTAACAAGCGGGTACCAACTGTGAAAGCGAATCAGTGAAACAGATTGAAGACGTTTGATGTTTTTGTTTATTTCATGATTCTTGTAGACTTTGCATATAACTTGAACAACTGAACTTAAATATAACTCCCTTGATTACTAAATACTAATGACTCATATTGACTGAACATTATGATAACTTTATTACGACTGAACTAAATTGATGTGAACTTATTGAAAACTTGATGACGGCTGAACAACAAATGCGTCATTGCTTAGTATTTATGTGCTTGATTCAATTTGACATTGTAATCCTTGTTCAATGTTACTGCATAGTGCAAAACTACGCTTTACTTAGTTGTTAAGGCGCCGTTTGTGGTTTGAAAAGGAATTTTATCAACGCTTGCAAGGTTACTGCGAGCATACAATGTATTGTAGCTATGAGTAACAGTAACTGTGTTGTTTGTATTCTGACCCTTATATAGTAGTTTATAATATTATTTATAATTATTACAAATGGGTGAATACCACTACATATATATATATATATACACCACACACACAAATCAAAGAAATCCTTGTGATTTTTTGAAGTAAAACTTCTTTAGGCGCGATATGGGTGTAAAAATTTCTTTAGGCTACACGGGTGTAAATCCGTACAAATGCAACGAAACGCCAACGTGAAGTTGAACACTACGACGCGGTAAGCGCTGATGTCGCGAGTATCCACTCCCGTCATGTCATGCGTAAGTCGAGCGCTAAACCCTATATGAACTTGCATTAATTGAATCACGTTTTTTATGTTATGTCCTCATGGAATAAGACTTTTCTTAGAGAATAAATGTGTCATGGAATATAATAAATTTATACTGAATCTCGTTGAAGACAAAATAATATCTACTGCCACGGATATTTATGTAGGTTGCCATGCGACAGATCAACAATCATACATTCGTCAGCAGTTTCACAAAAATCGGTTATTGATACCGGGGGTTTGCCGTATGAAATAATTTTAGTTCTGAATAAATTTTACATAATAACAACTAATATTGATGTAAGTGATGGCTTAGCTAATGGTTGTGTAGGAAAATTAGTGTACATAGAACGTGGCGATAATGATGAACTTCTACGTTTATGGTTTGAATTTCCTGGTAAGATAGGTAACAAAATAAGAAGAAAGCTGCACATCATATTCAAACTCTTAATATCAGTAAGACAGCTGTGCCGATTCTCAGGAGATCTTCATCTATTCCAATGAACAGAAATAAAATCATATTTGTCAAAAGAAATCATTTTCCTTTAGTGTCTGCATGTGTACTCACAATACACAAATCACAAGGTGGTACTTTTGATAAAATTGTATATGAATACAATAAAACACATAATCAGCAGCTTCTATATGTTGCATTAATGGATTGTTCATCATTTCAAAAAATTTTATCATGGAAGAAAACGGCCAGCAGGATTAATGAACTTAAAAACTGAATTCCAAAGACTTTCAACTTGTAGATTAATAACACAAGAAGAAAAATTGAGTGAGATAATAAGTTTGAACGACATTTCATTGTTTTCCTTTAACTGCCAAAGTTTACGAGCTCATGTGCCTGATCTGCAAGATAAAGTGCTACAACGTTGTACGTTTTTGTTATTTTCGGAAACTTGGATTAATAATGAAGAACGAATTGATATTCAGAACTATTACTGCGTTACTCAATACAAACGATCGGACTCAAGAGCAGGTGGTGTAGCTGTCTATCATTCATGTTCAGATACTCTTCATAATGCGACTCCTATGCAGTTTCTTGCGCCAACGATATTACTGGATATTCCTAATGAAATTACACAAGTAGGTGATATTACACACACAGAATCAAACATTAATTATAGTCGTCCTTTACATTTCTCCCAATAAAAACATATCAAATATTATTAAATTTCTTCATCAGCAGTTACTTCATTTTTCTTATGAGGGTGCAAAACTTTTAAACACTAATCACAACGAGATACCATTAATTCTTGCTGGAGATTTCAATGTCAATTTTCGTTCAGAAGAATCTCAACCATTAATTGATTTTTTAAATAATAAATTTAATTTAACAATGAATAATTCTCCATTTGAATCAACCACAAGATATGGCACGACTATTGATGCAGTTTTCTCCAGAAATGTACATAGTTTACAAAGCAAAATTTATGTCTCTCATTTCAGTTATCACAAACCTATTATATCATATATGAAATATGATAGCAATTAATCTATCGATGTTGTTTTAAACTGTGTTATTGATGTTATGTGATTATTAATAAATGATTTTTAAAATTCAAATATGATGTTTTTTTTATTTTTATCTTAATTGCCTACTCATACAATATTAAAAGTTTTACTTCAATCGCGTGTGATCCTTACGCGCACTCTTTTTTTTTTTCTTATTTTGTCTCTCTTTCGCATTTTGTCTCAATCAAGTTAGATTTTTCTTTATTTATTTAATCTTTACCTCAAAAGACTAACTAGTACGACCAAAAGTGAGCTTGAAAAATGGGACCATACTATCTTTCGCATCTTTATCTCAGGCAAATAAAGAGGTAGAAAGGTGAAATAAAGTTATCGAACTATTTCGAAAATGGAGACTATATTTGTCGCCCACATCCTATGTTTTCAAGAATGCATTTATATTTATTTTTACTTCATATTAATGATACATTTAAAACTTGTGAGGTAGAACTTGGATCATTTATTAATAATTTTAAAATTTGTTCTTTTCAGCAATTATATTAGTGTATTGATTTGATATTTGTTGTTTATTTGCAAATATTAGTACTTAAAATAGGTTACTATATTTAACTGTTTTAAATGGAGTGTCATTGTGTGTTTTTTTTCTAAAGTAATCGTTGCTTTCTCTAAGCAACATAATAATAAAAAGCATAATAATAAAATTATGTGTTGTTTCTTACTCGAATGACATTTTTATGGTTTTTTTTAGACACCAGCAATTCCATCAACACCGGCATGTTGTAAAAGCAATCCTCCGACTTACAGCTTCATCCAGTGTTGGCAACTTCTAGCTTTGGCCGTAAGCTTATTTACACCTCGAAATAGCCGTTTGTTATGGTATCTTAAGTTACATTTATCACGCAACTCTTGCGAGACAAAAACAGAATGTGGCAAATACGCGGCCTATTGTGAAAGGGCTTTGGAGAGAACTATACAAAATGGTGGAAGGGAGTTAAAACCGTCACGAATGGAAGTCTTGAGTATACTTTTGAAGAATCCTTACCACCACTCTTTACCTCACTCTATACCAGTTCATATGGCCAATGGTGCTTATCAAGTCGTCGGTTTTGATGGTTCTACAACTATCGAAGAATTTTTAAGGACGTTGAGCCAGGAGATAGCTTGCAGAGATAGCTCAGCTAATGGTTTTACATTATTTAGTGACGATCCAATTGAAAAGGATTTGGAAAACTTTATTGAACCAGCATCCAAGGTGGGTATCTTTATTTGTTCATATTATGTCACAAACGTAATTCACACGCGATTGAAGTAAAACTCATTTGCTACTGTACAAGATGGCTTTTAAGTAAAAATAAATACATCATATAACAATTTTGAATAATGTTAATTAGTAATATGGAAACACTCCTGATGCACACATTAATTAGTGTCAACCATTATACACATTTATATAATGATAAATTATAAATTATATATTTGTAATAGCATTAAAAATATGTATAATATTTAAAAACAATAATGTAATTGAAGTCATACTTCAAATATGACATGATCGGTTTGCCATTGTAATTAGCATTTCGAAATGAGCTTTCATTAGAGAAATGAAGTAATTGCTGATTAATAAATTCTATAATATTCGTTCACACAGTGGATTATGTTAAACAACGCCTAAACAAATATTGTTTTCGCAACTTCACTCATCATGTAATTGTGTTTGAAGAACTTCATGTAATTAAAATTAACATTAATTCATTGACTGCTTGTATTTTTTTTACTTTTTCGCTGGCGATATAATCTCATTCTTTGAACAGCTGTAATATCTCTCTTGCCTAAAACATATTTAATTGGTTTTATTATTTTCAAGGAACTGAGTAAAATATTCTTCCGATTCATGCATTTGTATTACGATGTAACTTTAAAATATTTATCTATGCCGATTTTCTTGTTGATATCGGTATGCATACAACGTTGATGCTGGTACGCATACAACGATAGAAATCTATTCACATACACGGCGGCCAATCACAATCGACCCGTATAGAAATGTTTTCATCGAGAGCGAATGACGAACAGTTCGGGCGTAACAGTACTTCCGTTGCATTTGTACAGATTTACACCCTAGTCGCGCCTAAACGAGTTTTACTTCAAGAAATTGCATAAAGAATGTTTTTATTATTATAATAGCGAACGTTTCGTACCTTGATTTGACTTAATCAATGCATATGAATAATCAAAATCTAAACACAAAAATGAGAACACTAAATAATCAAACACAGAGTTATATAACAAAACAAAAAAATTTAATATTAAACTATTAAAAATGGAATAATAAATACAAAGTTTTATAAAGGTGCTTGTGAATTAAGGCAAATGTTTTAATGCGAATGTTTAATTACTGAACGATGTATTGAAAGCGAAGTTTTGTTTTACATAAACTTATTGCGTCTGACCTGTTTCTCATATATTTTTGCAATATTTTATTGCAGTATAGATGCATATAAAAAGCATACCATATACATCATTCTATCATTATATTTTACCACATACGTGATGAGATTCTTCTTAATTTTATCCTTTTAAAATTAAAATCGTAATATAAAAAATATTATTACCCCGAGTAGTGAGTATAAATATAACATTATATTTGGCTTTTAGCTATGCGATGTAATATCAAGATGGGAAACAGCGCTTCGAGAAAAAGGCTCTGGTAAATTTGAAAATTCTCGAGTAATCCAATTAACCTACAAGAACCGTCTTTACTGGAAACATTCAGCCCGCATGGAAACAGATAAGGAACGTTTGTTAATGTGCTACCAGGTTAATCAGCAAAGTAAGTAATTATTTAATGGTTTTAATTCGCATATTATAACAGTAACGTTTTCTAGAAAATTTTCGTTTTCAATTTTTTTTAGTAAACTAGTTGGTTTGGTATTTAGCCTTGAGGCAAGTTACATGAACTTCCCGATATGTGTAAATAATCGACTTAATCAAAAAAAAAATGTGTAAATAATATTTTTCATCAATCCTACCTTAAAAAACGATAACAATTTTAACAAAGTTTGACGAATTTTTAAAATTAAACTGCTTGTCGTAAGGCCGTAATATTACAGTAAGTTCTATAAAACCATGATGTATACCGTCAAAAAAGTTCCATGAAAATCGGCTTAAATTTTTTTTCAACAGTTCATTATAAGAAAACGACTCGGTAGATTTTCACCTAAAATTAATCAGTACCATTCCCAACTAATATCTTTCGACCAGTTTTTGATTTTTTAAAATCGGTTCGGTAGGATGAGCGTAAATGTGCACGAAAAGTTTAACACTTTTTTTCAAATTGCAAAGAAACGGCTTGGCAGATCGTCGCACAAAACTGACAAACGATAGTCCTCACCGAAATACATCAAATGGCTTTTAAATTTCTAAAATCGGTTCATGCGTTTTTGAGAAAACGCCGAACAAAAGTCTAATTTTGACAAATGCCAAAAAAACGATACCAATTTTTGCAAACTTTGACGAATTTTTAAAGCTGTCGTAGGGCCGTAATTTTTTAGTATGATCTAGAAGACTGGTATCTACCGTCAAAAAAATAATCATAAAAATCGTCGATTTTTTTTTTTTTGAAAACTTTATTACAAGAAAACGGCCCGGCCGATCTCTACCAAAAACTAATCAGCACGATTCCCAACCAATATCTTTCGAACGGTTTTTGAATTTTCAAAATCGATTCAGAATTGCGGGCTAAAACGTAGATGAAAAATTTTTCACTTTCCTGCGATTTATAAAGAAACGGCTTGGCCGATCGTCGCACAAAACGATAGTCCTCGTTGAGATACATCGAATGGCTTTTAAATTTTTGAAATCGGCCCAGCCGTTTTCGAAAAAACGTCGATTTACGACAAAAAATCTGTTCACATACACGCACACACACACACTTACTTTTTCCAAATTTGGTCTCATTCGATTCAGAATGGCTTGAAACGTCGAGAAAACATAAAATTAGCAATTCGGATTTTTTGATGAAAACATAAACTTCTCCTTCGGGAAGTTAATAAATTATTTCTAAAGTTATAGCTGTTTTTAGTGACCCAGTTTAAGAAAACGGTCCTGGCGGTGACAGTCATAGCTCCTTGGAGGTTCATCTAAAATCTATCGAATAATGTTCATCTAAAATATCGAAAAATAGTTTTGTAAATAGATAATCCTGGGCCTGATTGAAGCTTTTCTTGTTTTTGCAAAAATTAACAAAATGGCGGCATCAGAAAAAAATCTAGATTTTTGGAACAAATCAACAGATAATTGGTCTTAAAAATTTAAATTTTTGAAAAAATAAAAATCCTTCGATCAGGCCCGAGTTTGTTATGTATTCTAAAAGCTGTATGAATTTCATTAAAATCTACTAAGCGGTTTTTGAGTTACAGTTGTCACCAGTTCAAAAAATATAGGTTTGAGCATAGATAAATAAGCATAAGGTTTTGAGAAAAACGCGTTTAAAGTTTCACATTGGGTTTTCGTACAGAAATACGAATTATTGAATTACTTAAACCGAGTCATCTATTTCTGGGCCATATAAATGTTCATCAGTCATTGTAGAAATTTCCAAAATTTCCATTTGATGTTGCCTACGAAGCATTCTGGGCTCCCGAATGTTCTCGTTGATGCGCTGATCTGCCACTTTCACACGTTCAGCATCCAATTTTTCAGCATACCAATGGGAATTATACCCACCATTAGGTCCTAGGGTATCCATAATCATTAATAATGGTTATGTATATGTATGCAGCAATTTGTACGATAGTAAAACTAGTATTCACGGTTTTTGGGCACATTTTTTACACTAGTTGGTTGAAGCTCGCATTTTTTTCTGATTAAGGATTCAATCTTGAACTACACATCTTGAAAGTAAATTATTATCGCTGAGATAGCCGTAAATCGGTCTAATAGCTTTAAAATACTAGAAGGTAAGGGAGAATAATCTTGAGTATAAGTATCAAGCTCTCCACTCTCAAATAACTCAAAAAGTAATCATCGGATCAACTTGAAATTTTCAGAGAATATTTTCAAGATATTACACTTAGCGAAAATGCAAAAAAAACAAAAATTGATTTTTCAAAAATTTCGAGTACCCCTAACCTCTTAATGCAATTGAATTTGCTTAATCAAAAGTGTCAATTAATTTTGTTTTAAAAAACTTTATCACAAATTAAGTAAAAGCTAGCAGCATAAATTTCTTATTTTATATGGTTATTATGGTCTGGTTGATATTTGTATATATATATATATATATATATATATACATATATATATATATATATATATATATATATATAAGTATAATCAGATATATATTCAAAAATATAAATATTATATGAATTACTGTAACTTGCAGTTGTGGCCGGTCGTTTCCCATTGAGCAGAGAACTAGCTATAGAGATGGCTTCTTTGATGGCACAGATTGATCTGGGTGACCGTTCTCGGGTCTCTGGTAATACATGTATTCCCATTGACAAATTTTATCCTTATCGCTACAGAGATTCTCTGTCTAGCGATGGCTTACGGGATCTTCAAGAACTCATTGGAAGTAAGTGGTTTGCTCTGAAAGGCAGAAGTGCTATGGATTGTGTGAGAATCTATTTAACTTGCGCCAGAAAGTGGCCTCTATTTGGGGCAAGCATGTTTCAGGCTAGGCTTAAATTTGGTGATAGAAATACTGCATGGTTGGCTGTAGCCGAAGACAGCGTCTCTGTTTTGGAATTGACATCAATGGCAGTCGTATCCAAATTTGCTTACAGCAGTGTCATAACATTTGGAGGTTGCCAGGATGATTTCATGTTAGTTGTTGGATCTGAAGATGGTTGCGGAGGGGAAGAAAAAATGTTGTTTGTGATGAGCAAACCAAAAGTTTTAGAAATCACTTTGTTAATAGCTGATTACATGAATGCGCTGGGTCATGCTATACCAGGGACTCCTCAGATGAATACTTTAACAAGAAATGGATCTAGAAGGTCTTTTAGACCTCTGGTTGTTGCTTCGACATGCAATAATACACTGAGCACTCATGGCCAACCTGATATCCTAAAATCTACACCAGATCATCAATGTATGACAACTGATTCGAAAAGAAGGATTCACACTGATTCTACAATGGCAAGAGAATAGTTTTAACACAAGTACTCATTTGGGATATGAAATTAAAACAGTCACACATTGCATGCCTTTAAATTACAATTTATACTTTTAAGCCCCATTTTTTTTTTTAATATCAATATTTTTATTACCCAATCTTATTAATTTCTACGCATCTGTTCTAGTTTATATGTTTTAACAATTAAAACCCCAAGTTTGATTGCTACTTTGAAATATTCAATCTAATATGTTGCAGTACAAGTTCTTGAAAATCAGACCTAATAGTTTTTAAAGGATAGAATAGAATCTGTTTGATTTCATAAATTTTTAAGACAAATATAAAAAAAATTCTTTCAATTACTATGTAAATTAAAAATAAAATTAAAGTCATTAGATATGTTGTTTTCAACAAGAGAGCAATATTTTATTATTTTATTATAATATAATTAAATTTCTTGAATAGATTTGTATATAAAATTTTGATCAAAATGCCAAATATGCAATCGAAATTATAATGCAAGAAACGATTATCTTCCATATATAAAGTCAAGAATGTGTTTTTTCACTCTATAATATTATATATATATATATATATATATATATATATATATATATATATATATTTGAAGTATTTTGCAGTCCAATCGTCGAATTAAAAAAGGTTAAAATAGAAAAAGTCTTTATCCAATTAAACACATTTATATTATTAAATGTGTGCCATCATTCAGTAATAAAACCAGGAAAAACTAAGAAAAATATAAAATTTATTAAACACTAAACTTGTGCAAAAGAACAACATAACTTGTTGCGACATTCTTAATAACGTGGATTTTCGAAGGCAACCCAACGGTTGACCTATCTATGTTTGATGAATTTGTTAGAATAACTGAATGCTTATAACTTTTTATATTTGCAGCAATACCGAGTAGGGGCTATATTTACATATAGTTATTTATTGACCAGTATAGAATGAATTTCTTATATAAGTTTAATTAAAAATTAAATTAACCAATATTATTCCGATGTATTATTTACAGCGAAATAACTATTTTTCTACATTAAAGTTTAATCATAAATGTATATTATTTGAACAAAAAAAATATAAAAAGTATATATGTAATTCCATTTCAAAAATGTTCCTAAAGTGTTTAATAAATTATTTTTTTTGTATTTTCCCTGGTTTCATAATGATGACACACATTAAGTTTTATAGTGGAGAGTGGATTAATATTTGCTCTTTTTTATTAAAATGTTTTTACACTTGACATGATTCATAAAGCAAATAACAATTATAATATCCAATTTTTTTGATATGTTAGGCATTATTCTTCAAATCAAACTAATCATAAGTAATCAGTTATTATATACTTATATACACACATATTTATGCATATATATATACATTTATATATATATATATATATATATATATATAAATATAAATATATATATATATATAAATATAAATATATATATATACATATATATATATATATGTGTATATATATATATATAATTTTTTTTACAAATAGTGCCACTAAGCATTACTAATTTTATTGTGAAATAGAAGATATTAGACATTGTAATAATATTAGAATTACTGTTGTGTATATTAGAGAGTATTAATTAGATTTGAATATAGACCTAATAGATTCGAAGATTTTCTCGAATTATAATATCTACAATATTAAACACAATATGATATTTTATATAATTGTATATCATTGTTCAAATTTTTATGGTGTATTATTGTAAACCAACGTGGCTCAATAAAATTAATGAGATTTTATGCAATATTTACCAAACGTAAAATAAATAATATATTAATTTTATGTGTGATTATTTAATGTTTTAATCAGGCTCAGCATGCCCAAAGGCCCATCAGTGCACTTTTTTAATCAATAACTATAATTATACGATATTTTTTAATTTAATTCTGATAACTGTTAGTAATCAATAAAAAGTATTTTCACATTGAAAGGCAGCATAGGTAAATATTTCTGAAATAATAGTTTACATATGAGCAAATATCAAATATGTGAAAACTTATCTATCACAATTACCACCCAATTAAATTCGATTTATAAAATTAATATGTATATGTACATCAAAACATTGATTACACAGGTCCACGTGGCGGATTAGGCTTCCTGCCGCCCTATCTGATCAGGCGCTCTTTTTAAAAGTCAGAATTTTACTTTTTTATTTAAACAAATATTTTTAACTTCCCGTGGGGCAAGTTATAGTAAACGCAAAAAGATCGAAAATAAAATTTTTTAGATATCTTTACGTTTCAAAGGTTTCTGAATATTTTGGCATACCTTAGAAAAAAAGGATGCATGTGTGTGTGTGTGTGTGTGTGCGTGTGTGGTTACAAATTTCGGGATCGACGATTTCGGGAACACCGATCAACCGATTTGAATAATTGACGTGCTGATTAGTTTTTAAGTATAGCCGTTTCGAAGATACGGGGCAAAAATAGCCAAAAATGTTAATTCAGTTTTTGAGAAACGGATCATCCAATTAAATTAATTCAAAAAACATTTTGCTTAAGTAGACGGTGTGCAAAAAATGCTTTTACAGAATATTTTGTAATTTTAAAAATTAAAAAAAAAATCAATATTTCGAAAATTGTCATTTTCATAAAAAACTAAATTTTGAATTTTTTTTTAAAATATCGAAATTAAAAAAAATATTTCTTACAAACATTTGAGAATATATCGAAATTTTCAAAAAAATCAAGTTATTGCAAAAAAATTCAAATTCTCAAAAAATTAAAACAATCATTTTTTGTAAAAAAATTTCAAACTTCTATAAAAATTCAAAATTTTGAAAAAATTTCTAATTTATCAAAAAATTGTAATTTAAAAGGCACTTCCAAGTTTACAGTATATATTTATAATGAATAATCTATTTGAAATTATTCAAAATAATTATTGTTTATTTTCATACGGAAAGTTCCTGCAATTTGCCTTAAGGCACGATGCCATGCACCCCACTAGTTATTACTTAAATTATAGTATAGTTATACGAATCGCAAAAGAATAAAAAATTTTGCATAAATTCACGTTTCAATAAGGTCAACATTTTGGCATATATGTTCTAATTAGTTTTTGGCTTTTCGAAGATAAGGAGAAAAAAATGCATAAATGGCAATTTAATTTTTGAGTTGGATTTCCGAATATTTCTAAAAACGTTTTAGAATTGACTAATTTTGGGAAGGCAGGTTCAGCGGTTTTGTAGATCTAGAAAAAAAAGGAAATTAAGGGTGCGTGGTATTGTACTGCCTGCAGGTAAATTGCTGGATTTTTTCTATCGAATCAATAAATATTGATCAATGATTAATAACAATTATTTTAATATTTTTAAAGAGATAATTATAATTACTGTATATTTTTTACAGCGGCGATCTTATCAGTCAAGCCACTTGAAAATGTTATTACATTAAGAAGAAATGCTAAATGAATCCATCTGAGAGGATATATTTTTTAAGAGTAGAATAACGCATATGAAATATATTTTGGTGACGTCATAATGACTATTTACATGCGTCGGTAATAATATAGTCGCCATCTCGGGTTTGCAATATGTCAACCGATTTATTCCATTCTAATCCAGCTACCTGTCGCTTTCCTTCCAAAACTTTGAGGTCAGTTCCAAACAAATATGAGGTCAGTTCGTTCTAGTTTGTTTCCAGTTCGGGTTCTATCCAGTTTGGGTATAGTGCGTTTCCAGTTCCGTGTTCAATTCGCTTCCAGTGCGTTATCACTACGCTTTCAGTTTGCTATCCTTCTTTGGTTCAGTTTAGAAGTTTTTTGTTAAGTTTCCTTTTTACGTTTAAAGTGAGGTCATTTTTTGGTTTGTTATTATAAGAGAAAAAGAACGTTTTTAGTTTTCAAATACAGTCCATATTATAATATGGAGTATGGCATTCTTGAATATGGACTCCATATTCAAGAATACAAGCGATTCCGGAGGGTCTGATTATCTAATCAAGGCCACACCATTTATACATAGACATGTTTGTTAACTGATTATTTTTATTCTTTAAATGTTTAATTACGGTACGGGAGTTCCAGCAATTTGCCTTAAGGCACGATGCTATGCGCCCCACTAGCTTAACCTTGTTTTTTTTATCTAGAACTAAAGATAATTTATTATGCAGTATCTGTAATAGGGTATTAATACTGTGGGAGTTTGGCAGATCGCGTCAAAATGAAGTCAGCGACGTGATAAATAAAAATGATTGATGGGTTTTGTTTTCCAAATCATTTTGGTCTGTCATCAGATATATTTTTACAAATGAATTTATAAAATTCATTACTGAAATAAGAAGTTAATTTCATTATATTCGGTAATTTTATTAATTTCCGAAAATACCGAAAACTAGTGGTGTATGGCATCGTGCCTGAAGGCAAATTGCTGGAACTTTCCGTACCGTAACGAAATGTTCGAGGAATATTAATTAAATTAAATAGATTATTATAAATACTGTAAATGTATAATATTTATAAGAATTATATAAACTGAATAAGAAAGTCAAAAAAATATTTATTTAAAGTACATAAGTGAGCTTTAAAACTTTAGCCAAAATTAAAATTGAAATCCTAATTATTTTCGATACCAAAAAAAATGAGATGAACTTTTTTTCCCAAAAACAATTGTTTTGCCAACATAAGCAGAAAGTTTTTTGAATCATTTAATTCGGATGCTATTTTCTCTCAAAAACTGCTATTTTTTGTATATTTAGCTCTGTTTCTTCGAAATGTCCGGGCCTGCCTTTGCCAAAATCGAATAGCCATTTCTCTCAATCATTACTAATTGAATGTTTATTAGATCATTCTAATTGGATGCTCCATTCTCTCAAAAACTCGATTTCAATTTTCTGCTTTCTTTATTCTTCATCTCCGTAACGGCTGGACCTGTTTTTGCCAAAAACTAATCAGCACATCTCCCTATTAATAGGAATCGAATGTTTTTTGAACCATTCAAATCGGTTGATACGTGCGCCCAAAAACATGAACGAAAAAATGCGGTCATACAAAACACACACACACACATCCATTATGCTAAAATTTTCAGAAATTTTCATTTTAGATTTTCGGCCCATTACTATAACTATTACGGGATGTTATAAATATTCTATTGTATGTATACATACATACTTAATGATGCTATGTATGTATGTATGTATACATATCTGCAATATTTTTTAAAAAATTCAAGAAAATAACATTAATTTGTTTCATTATATGTATTATTAGTGCATTTGGAATTCAAATATGATGTTTACATACTTGGACATTATTTGTATTCATACGTCTACGCACAAATTTAAATAGAATTCAATCACAAACTTTTGATCAGTATTTATTCAAAACTTTCAATGTTTATAATTCATCTGAGATTCGCCAAAAATTGAAGTTGCCCTTTTTATTGTGTCTCTGTTCAGATGATCTGAAAAATGTTCACACAATGTATCAACTACTAAATCACTAATAGCTAAAATTTAATTTACTATTAATTATTTTTTCAAATAATTAACATTTTTGAAATATGTCCTGAAACTTACCGACATTGAAGTATTGATTACTGTGATCTAGGTTCAAACTCCGCGCATATTGGTGCTGCCAGGCTCCTGTGCCAATTAAACCTGCTGCAAAAATTATCGCTTTCAGAAGCAATAACAAAAGCAAGGTTGTTAAATTCAAGCTCACTATCTAAAGTGGAAATAAAAAAACATAAATTGAAAAACATTGAACAGAGACTAAGACATGAAATTGCTTCTTTGTTTTCTGAAAATTTTGTCTATATAAGTTGACTCATGAAGTACAGTAAACCCTCGGTTAACGCGGCAAGGGCGTGCCGTGCGGTATGAGGACCATGCTATAAAAAACTCGTATTTAACATACAATTCAAGCTAATTCGTAGTGCGTTCTATGATGGAACCTTATATAGTGCAGTATCACGTGATGTATGGAAACCAAGGAATACAACTTGAAGTATGAGTAATGTAGACTAAATGGCATGTATGGCATAGACACCTTCTTCAAAAATTGCCGCGACGCAGTAGCCAGTTCAAACGTGTTCTATATACAGCTACTATATAATCATGTATGTTTAAAAGATAAAAGTCGATAACAAAACTTACATTAATACTCTTTTGATATCAAGTTTCTAGAATCACTCATAGGTTGCACAAGGAACTTATGGGTTGTTGAACAAAACCGTGTAATAGGAAGTCCGTGTAATCACAGGGATGTCGGATTTTTAGCTCCGCGTAGTATGGGAACCGTGTACCCAGAGTGCCGTGTTAACGGAGGGTTGACTGTATATCAAATTTATAAAATATGGTAGAGCAGGGTTTAAAGGTTCAAAAAAACTAAAGATAGGATGTTTTTAACTACATTTGAAACTAAAGGAATGGAGATGTTAAACCATCGCCTTAATTCTTACAACAATGCTATCGCGATATAAACGGCAATGTTTGAAAAATCATAACAGAAGTATTTTCTTAGCTTACGAGACTCTAATATAATATTGTTAATTTTAATTAAGATTCAACAATAAAAAATAGTAAATAAAAAGTATATTAAATTAAAAAAGCAATTTCTCAAAAGATATGTTAAATAAATATTTATTCCAACTCTTCTGCTGATTTTTTGTAGCAATGCCATATCAAGGTTAAATATAGTTTGCATTGGTTAATACCCAGTAAACCACAGAAGTTAAATCCACGTAACTCATTTTGTAACTTTCGTTTCGAAACTGATGTTAAGTAAAAAAACCGATGCTGTTACGTATAGTTGTGAGCTTTAACCACCGTCGACCAGTTTAAACGTTTATAATACTGCTTTGTTCGTATCTGTCGGTACGTGGCGTGGTACGTTGCACTGTCACATACATTTGCCTTTGAAAATAGCCGTGAAGTGTTTTATGATCGAAATGTCAAGTGAAATATAGGTTAACTCGGTCAGTGCATCGTGGACGCATAATTGAGTATTTTATCGTGTATGTTTGAAATGCAAGATATTTCCTTTATTGAAGCGTTATTTATTAATTGCTTTTATATTTAGTGCGAAATCAGTTGTAGAAATTAGTTAAACAGTCAGCTGGAAAAGTATTTAATATGAAACCGGCAAACAAGGTGAGTCTAATTGTACTGAAATATATTTTAATTTATAAATTATTATAATAATGTTTAGTCATTTGCAGTATATAGGCCGCCTTCAATGCAAAGTCTGTTCATGTATTGTGATAATTGATTTGTCATGTAATAATTGAAATTTCTAACACACCAGTCAGAAACATAACCTCAATTCAGTGATATGATATGAATATTATAGGTAGATAAGTGTAATATATATGGTATCATACATATTCTTTATAATTTTATTAGTATCAGAACTATTCAGTTAAGCAAAAACTGATATAAATTGCTTTTCAATTGTAGAGAAAGAGTGCTCATAACCCCTATGGGTTATGTCAAAATGGAATTCAAACTAGGGAAATTTGCTCTAATCAAGAAGATAAATTGTCACCAAAGAAACAAGCACGACTTAAAAACATTCAAGAAGGAAAACAAAGAATGCACCGGATATCACACATTATATGGATTAAGTGTTGAAGAGAACATGAATTGTTGAGTATTTCGAGCCTGATGATCTTGCATTACAGAATTGGTATATTAAGGTTCTACATGAAGAGAATTTTAACTAATATGATTCAGTACTAATTTGTAGTGTTTTACTTTTAGGTAATTCAGAACTTGAAAATTAATAGGATAAAATCAATGCAAGAAAATTGAGTGTGTGTTCATGGAATAATTATCTCTGTCATATGATCGTAGGAACTACATAGTCATTAACTTCAAATAATGAGTATGTTTAGAGGTAATGTTCACAAATGACTAATTTGTTCACAATGTTTTCAATTCAAAATTTGTGTACAATGTTTCTAAGATGTTTGGTTCTATTTTAGATACATTAACAGATGCAAGTGAGTTGAACATATTTAACGCAAGACTTAACTTTGCCAAGTCTGATTTAACTGAAGTTGCCAAGAGAGTTAAACATAATACATATTATGAATAAATAAATAATTATTTTTATAGGCTAACATTTTATGGACTATCAAATTTTAGTTTTCTAATGTTAACTATGTAATATGTAAATTTTGTATATTGTAAATGATAATATTTAATAAAATTACTAAATATCCGAAATTATTATTAATATTCTATATTTGCAGGAAATTTAATTAAATAAGTATGTAACATAAAAGACACCTACACGCTTTTTTATTCAATTTAGATACGTAGCAAAAATGTAACCGCGGTGTATTAGTGTGCAACGAAACAGCCGTTACGTTCTTGCCCGCGAAATAGATGCTTCTGTGTGCCTCCCAGGTTACGTACCTGGTTCGTGCGGACGTGCCAGCGTTACGTAACATTCATGGCTTTGTTACGTTTTGTGGTTTACTGGGTATAGCTATTATTTCGTAAAATCCCTTTAAAATTAAAAATATACATTAGACCTATTTGGCTTGTGATCGTCTCATTTTATTCCGCCTATGGAGTAAAAAGAACCAGGTTACAAATTTTTGAAAAACAGCAAAATTAATATATTTCTAAAATAATGATCTGAGATTATTACTGAACATAGTAAGACAGTTGTTTCTTTGATATGTTATTTTGTTGTGACATTATTGGTTTGGTTTTAACAATATTATTGCTCAAAGTCAAATTGTACCTTAGTACTCCGCTCTACTTTAAACTTTTATATATAAATCAATTAACATCACTATCATTGAATATGGTTCTATTAAATTGTAAAACCTGAGTATTTCCAGTAGATCTGGCGATGACCTCTTTAAAAAACTTGGCCATTATTTGTGCTCCAGGGCTCCAAGTATCTTCATCGAACAAACTATAAGTATTCAGTGATCTTTGTACCGTCTTGTTTTGTAACGCTGCGCATCCACCAATAATTGACAGGGTGATCACAATTATCGTAGTTGAAGTAGAATAAATCATTTTATCTAAATATTACATTTTTTTAAAAATTTAAAAACAAAATGAAATAATATAATACATAAACTAAACATGCAGAATGAGTAAACCATAAATTAGGGGAGTATAATGGCAAAATCAGAAAATTGAAATAACAGTCACATTAAAAAAATTATGTCGTTCGCAGATTTTGTCGTTTCTCACATAATATATAACCCTTTTCATTCGCGAGTTGCGAGAACTATATGGCATTCGAGTGGAAAGGGTTAAATCATTGTAGGATACATCTTTTCCACGATATCGGGAGCGCGGATTTATTTGAATGATTCAAAAAACGTTGAAGGAGATATGTTGCACGTGTTGTTTAGTTTTTGGCAAAGGCAAATCCATCCGTTTCAAAGATACTGGGCAAGAAATGAGAGAACGGAGCGGAATTGATTTAAACAAATTTTAACTGCACGCAGGGTAGTTATAGTAATGGGCCGAAAATCGAAAATGAAAATGAAAATTTTTGCATTTCTCGACGTTTTGAAGGTTTCTGAACATTTTGGCATACCTCAGAAAAAATGGATGTGTGTGTGTGTGAGTATGTGTTTTGTGTGTCCAATTGATAGGGCGATGTGCTGATTAGTTTTTAGCAAAGGTAGATCCAGCCGTTTTGGAGATACCAAGCTACAAGTGCAAAAAATGGCAGTTTAGAGAGAACTAAGCATCCGATTTGAATGATTTGAACATGTTTCTGCTTGTTTGGACAAAATAATTGCTTTTGGAAAAAAAAATATTTGAAAATTTGTTTTCCAATTTTTTTTAAAATTTTTTTTTTGTGTTTCGAAAATAATTTAGATTTTAATTTTAATTCTTGCTAAAGTTCTAAACACATTTATATACTTCAGTTTTTATAATTGCAGTTCAGTTTTTATAATTCTTATATATATTAGACAATTTTACCGTATTTATAATAATCTATTCGTATAACATCCGCGAACATTTTGTTACGGTACGGGAAGTTCCAGCAATTTGCCTTAAGGCACGATGTCATTCACCACTAGTTATTGATGAAATGAATATCAAATATCCTGGAAGGCAGATTCAGCCGTTTTAGAGATCCAATAAAAAAGTAAACTGAAACTTTCCGTACCAAATTAAACTTGAAATTCTTGAAAAGAAAAGACTTTTCTAAAAAAAGAGTTTATTTTGTATTTTGAAATATTTTGGAAATTTTGAACTTTTTTCAAAGCAATCGCGCTGCTTTAGCTGCGTCGAGGCAAAATATCGAAGCGGAAACCATAGAAATGTAAACAAAATTTATACTTATTATTAAAATCTCTGGTAAATGGATGTGTAATGATCACATCATTTTTGACTACACCTGCCTTACCAAAAATGTATTTATAAGTAAAATGTTTATTAAATTATTGAAATCGGACGCTCCGTTCTCTCAAAAACTGAATTACCATTTTTGCCCTATATCTTTGGAACGTCTAGACCTGCTTTGTCAATCGAATGTTTTTTGAATTATTCAAATCGGTTGATCCATGCGCCTGAAAACGTGGACAAAAAATGCGGAAATACAAAACACACACACACATATACACATCCATTTTTTCTGAGGTATGCCAAAATATTCAGAAACCTTCAAAACGTGGAGAAATGCAAAAAAATTCATTTTTTTTTTCGGCCAATCATTATAACTACCCTACGAAAAGTTAATAAATAATATTTAATGAAGAAATTGATATTATAAAAAATATTATAACTGTGTAATAAACATTTTATTTGTGTTTTTTACCTAATTATTTGTTTTTTGAAGTATTTTACCTTGTTTTCTCTTAGCTAACACATAAAAATCTTTTGCTCAACCTTCTATAAACTATCACACTTTATAAGTCTAAAATATTAATTTATCTACAGAAGAAGCACATATATACACTTTTTGTCACAGGTTAAAATATAACGAAGAAACGTCTTGTACGATGCAGTATTTCTTATATATTGACTAGTTTTTTTTTCTGAAAAATGCACTTGTGCAATCTACCCCCTCCATACATATATATATATATATATATATATATATATATATATATAACGATATGCGCGCCTATATATTTACGGATAGGCGCTTTACCTGAATTCTGCGTTTACCTGCCATTATCTGTAATTTTATTGTTTATGAAACCTTTCAAAAGTGGTAGAAAAGTTGTTTTCTAAGTAAATGCGTGCAATTTTGTGCTTTTAAGAACAGTCTTGGATACATAAATTGTTAAAAAAATGTATATTATTTGTATTGATTCAGATTCAGAAAGAAAGCGCGACTAAAAATATGTTAAAACTAGTGGGGTGCATGGTATCGTGCCTTAAGGCAATTTGCTGGAACTTTCCGTACCGTAATTAAAAAATTTGGTACCCAAAGAAATTACACAAAATGTGTACACATTATGAAAATCTCTATAAAATATCTGATAATTTGATGTGCATAAGTCCAATAAATATTTTTAACCGCCAAATGACATTTTTTTAACTTATTTTTATTGACAGTCCATAACCGCTGGACCTACATTCCCAAAAATTTAATCAGTTCTTCATCTTGCCAATACAAGTAAAATGTTTTCTGAATTATTCAAATCGGACGCTCCATTCTCTTAAAAACTGAGATACCGTTTTTGGCACGTTTTGAATCGAATGTTTATTGAATTATTTTGAATCGGTTGATCGGTGTTCCCGAAATCGTCGACGAAAATTTGTATCCGCACACAGACACACACGCACACACACACATACACACATACATCCATTTTTTCTAAGGTATGCCAAAATGTACAGAAACCTTTAAAACGTAAAAATACATAAAAATTTTCATTTTCGATTTTTTTACGATTACTATAACTTACCCTACGGGAAGTTAACTAGTGGGGTGCCTAGATAAATAAGCATAAATAGATTGCTATCTCGGGCGATTTGACGTTACACTCATTTTAATTTACGAATAGATCACAACATGGCAGCACATGTACATACAGTATGTAAATTAACCCCTGGTATTACTTCTACATTAGTACATATAATCAATATAGCCAAAAAATCTGAAAATAATTTAATATTTGAAATAAGAACAAAACATATGAAATACAAAATATATTTTCAAATTTATCACAGACATATTTTTGAAGAATTATAAGCTAAACAGAAATAACTGACTACTATTAATCAAATTATATTACAGACATATTTTTAAAGTACTACAAATTGAAGAGAAATAACTTATTCATATTAATTACTTAATGACTAATAGTAATATATTAAAAACTTAAAAACTAAGAAGTAAAAAGCGCAGGAGTATTGACGATGGAATGACAAATTTAGAAGGAATGACAAGTAATGCAATAATTTAAAAGGATAAAAAGAACAGCACATTTTAAAAAAAGAATGAATACTTCTCAAACAAAATAATCCTAAAAACAAAATATATATATATTGATATCCAAATTGAGACAAAACTAAATTCCTAGGATTAAAATTCATTTACGAGACATTCTTGTTTGTTATCTCTCCATTTAATAGTTATTTTGCTATCTAATCAATCATTAATAAAGTTATATTTGACGAAATCTTTGAATAGTTTCTGTATAAGTGTTTTTTTAAACGTAAGTAACCAAAACCCTTAACTACTTTTAATTTATACCAATTGTAGCTCAAACCTATCTATCGTTTTAATCCAGTTTTTATTGCAAGGAGGTTTATTTAAAACTATAACTAAACCCTTGCGCTTAATAAACTGTCTGATCTTTGAGTATGCTCTCTTAATTGAGACAATATCAAAATTCTTGCCCTTACATTTTAAGTTTGCGGAATATTTGAAAACTTCTCAGAACATTGTATACTCTGTTGGAATTTATCCTTTAAATTATTGCATTGTTTGTTAATCCTTTTTAATCCCGAAACAAAATTTGATGTATCATATATCTTCTGGATGTTAAGGCACTCCTACGCCTTATGACTGCATTCTGAGGCAATTTGCAGCTACCACCAAGGACTTCTATTGAATATATTGTTATCATATTAATTGAAGATATTGTTATTAGCATATTAATTATTTTTGCTGCAATTA